CTGAGAACCCAAAGGCATGCAAAGAAATCCTGGAGGTCAGTAACCTTATTTCCAAACCCTGCAGAGCAATGTTGAAGGCGTACCTCACGTTTAAGTTTAAAAATGAAGAGACTGCAGCCAGAAGAGAATCGACTGACTTGTGGCTACACATCATGCAAGTCCTCATCTTATCCTCGGGGTATCCCGAGGAGTTTGAGAAACTGCTTTTTAAGGAAGAGGACGATTATAACAAAGAGCTCAACCTTGCTTTGGCAAAGGCAAAAAACTCCCCAAAGGGGAAAGGCCAAGGAGGAAAGACCAAAGGAATAGAGGGCAGATACGGTATGTTGCTGCCTGACAAAAATGCTGAGCACGGAGGGAGAACACACTTGTGCTTCATTCGCCTCCTTGAAAACTCACTGGAGCAATTCTACGTTCACAAGAACCCGGAAAACTGTAAAAGGTTTTTCTTCCGGTTTATGAATGTCCTGGTCAAGAAGTGCACGAGATACCTGATTCCAAGCATAGGAAACACGGTGATGTTGTTGGAATTCCAGTATATTCTCTGTTGCGCTGTCCTGATGCGTCTCTCCAAGAACATTACTCTCTGCTTTCCAAAGAGCTACATTGCTCTCATCCATTACTGGGAGTTCTTGTTCAAAAGCAAGGACCGTAACAAAGAACCTAGAGACACATTTTCTATTATACAGGAGTACAGGCCAAAGGACACCTATGTGGCTGTACAGAAGTTCATGTTTCACCTCTATTATCTGGCAGAGGTTTTGTGTGGAGTTCATGGAAGGTTCAATGTCCTTCTGGATGCTTTTGAGGACCCTGACTGTATAACTTCAGGGGAGGCTGAGCGGACTGTCGTGCTGTGCTTAGTGATGCTACTGAATGCTGACCAGGTGCAGAGCTTGAAATACAAATCCCTTTTACACCACCACTTCCCTGAAATCAAGGCGATGCTGAAATCTCAGCACTCGCCCTCTAAAGTGCCTAGAAGGTTGCTGAGGGTTGTGGAACAAGTGAGTGATGCTACACACGTCAGAGAAGTCGCTGTGGGCCTGCAAGAGCTGCTGACAGAGCGAGATGAAGAGTACTTGGTGGACTGCCGATGGAGGTGGGACTCTGCGTACACTCAGGGGCATCCACCCATACGGGGCATCCTGTACGAAAACATAAACCTCGACAGGTTTGTGACCTCTTTGGATAAGACGGAGTATGCTGATGAGCTAGAAAAGGAGCTTGAAAGGGTTCATTGCCTAGAGGACCAGAAGGATCCCCTGGAAGTCATTGCACTCAGCAAGCAGCAGAAGCAGGAGCAGAAAGCATCTGCGCAGCGCCATCTGCGTCGTGTGTTCCACGTCGTTTGCCTGTGTGTGAAGTGGAAGAGGAGAGCCTGCTCCAAAGCTGAGCCTGTTGCCGTGGAAGGGGAGGAGTTTTTATCAGAGATCTTCAAAAGAGCAGATATCGACCAAACCCAGTGTGACCTCTGCGGGGTCAGGTTTATCCAGAGCAGCGAGAGCTATTTCAGCCGGTCAGAAAGCATGGAGGCAGACACTGCTGAACCCGTGACACCAGCAGAGATCAGCGGAGAAGAAAAGCTGCATGCAGAAGGAGATGCGAGTTCTGTGGCCAGTGAGGCTTACCTAGAGCACAGGAACACAGAGGAACACAGGAGTAACAGCGCTGCCTACAAATACTACGCCGACTTTTTCAGGAGGAAGATAGATCCGATGATACGTGATGGACTGGAAGTAGTGGAGGCCATTATGGAAAAGAGTTACACCCAAGGCCATTTGGCGTATAAAGAAGGTTCCAACTTACGCCAGAGAAAAATCAAAGAGAATATTAAGAAGATTTCAGATGCAGTAGAGGAAATCTATGAGAGAAAAGCCTGGGCTAAAGGTAGGAACTTTGATGAGACATTTGTGGCCAAACTGAGGATCTTAATGTGGTCAAGAGAAAGGTATTTCAGGTAGCTGAGGAAAAAAGAACTGAGACAGCTGAGTATATCAAATGCATGCTGACCTCTTCCAAACACAAAGTAATCCATCCGATAGTACAAGTCAAGTGAATAGTGATGAATTTTAGTTAAGTGAGTTTTACCACATGAGCAGATGTGCTGTGTGCTCTGACTTTATCCAGCCTTACAGCAGTGTGTTACGTTAGCCCAGGTAATCTTTGCTGCTTTTTCTACTGTTCTCTGCTCATTTTGTTCTGCCAGCCGTAATAATTGGGATATGCAGGGGCAGAGCATTGGGAGCACATGGAGTCTTTGGTGAAGGATACCTCTGAGTAGTCTGCCCTTGGACTTGTAATTTTGCTAGGGCTGAACAGAAGTGGATACTTGACTACAGATCTGTGGGCTGTCAGACACTCAAAGGCAACCCTGGTGCTCAGTCCACGTGGCACTCAGGAGACACACATTTTGAGTATCCTTTTTTTCACCCATATACTTGAGCATTCATCTAAGCTGATTTTTGCAAGCAGATTTGAATGAGCAGCCTAGGAGCACAATTGTTTGGAGTATTTGCTGTGGGAAAGTGACATCTTAAATCAAAACATTGTTACTGGCTTTAGTTGTGGAAATCTACCAACCCCATCACGTTATCACTTTGCCTGTGATGTCTGACAGGAGTGAAAAGCTGTAATCCTTGATACGTTCATCAGCTCTGATCAGTGAGCCATGGTAAATTTGTACCTAAGCGTTCGGTTGCGATCTTCCTGTGTAAGCTTTACCTTTATTCCTAGTGGAAAGCTTTACCACAGGGATGAATTCCGTGAAGTTTTGCTTATTATTTAGTTGGCTTTCTTCTCAGTGAACCACGCTAGCGAGGAATGTGATGGATGCAGTAAGCTTAATTAAGTAATAGTTGATTTTGTTATGACAATTGCTTGATGAATGTTACCTTGCTCTTCCACTTGGTGAAAATATATTTACAGCAATTATTTGCCTTTGAGGTTACTTTTTCCTCACTTTATAGCAAGCGTTTTTCAAGTCCCTGATGGTGCAGTTAATGAAAGGCTGCAGCATCTTGGGGCGATGTTTGACTTGTGTAATGGAAACCAGGAACTTTCATACCCCCAAAACAGATAAGACAGGATATTTTCAGGAGTTTCTGGTGTACCTTAAAAGGGACAACACAAGGATGCAGAGCTTCTCTTCTGCTAGTGCTAGTGAGGTTAATTGGAATGGGGAGGAATACATCCAGCACTTTGTCCCCACTAGTGAATTTCCCTGCATGTGAGATCAGTGGTGACTGAGACTTCTTCCTTTGCAGCAGCATCACAAAGGCATCTCTGAGTAACTCTGCTTTGTGCTTGGCTTTGAGCTGCTGTCCATCTCTCGGCTGGTTCTTACACAGTGTTAATTGTGCTCCATTTCAGCTGAAGAGGCAATAACCAAACACACCAGCAAATTGGTTGCCACCATTGATGAGGCTCATAAGTGGCTGAAGAAAATGGACTCTCATCAGATAAAAGAAGAAGGTATGTTTTTGAATTGCACAGGTTTCCAACAGGTTTTCTATGTAAAAATTAATTATTAGTGCAGCAAGTGGCTTGGCAGTCCCTGCTTCCTCGCAGAGCTCATAAATACTTGTCATATTAAGCCAAATACTTCTTAAACATGATTATATATTATATATGAAGCTATATTGCCGACATAAAAGAGCAATGACATAACTTGGCATGCTATCAAGAGGAAAAGGTGTTGGGGTTTTCCATACTTCATTCCTTTCTTGTTCTTAATACAGGCTTTGTGCATGATAGAGACTTGGAAAATGAAGTGGAAGATGAAAGCATGGCTTTTGAAGAGCTCGTCTATAAAAAACCCTCCAGAAAAAAAGGAAGATGTGGGAAATGGTGATGAGAAGCAGCATGCAGGTGGCTGTTCTCTCCTCCTAACAGTCTAGTGTTAGAATTAAGAAGCAAAATAGAGGGATGGAGCCAGAAATGGGAAGAGTCTGAAAAAAAAAGAGCAATTTACGCTATTGTGTTTATGTCACTTGTATTCTGTCAGAATAATTACCTATGTGCTGATGATGTAGTTGTTGAGACAAATTTCCTTTCAAACCTCTATGGTAGCTTGAAAGTAGTGAAAAGCCAAAGAAGCAGCAAGTAGGAAGAAATAAGAACGTTTCTGCCTTACCTCAGGGTATTTTCCCACTCTGTCTTCTTTTCCTTCTTCCCTCTTACCTTACATCATCATTCTTCTGAGTTGGAACACTCAGAACAATAGGGTAGTTTCTCTGATTTTAAGAGGTTTTAATCAGTGTTCTTAGGTTACCATTGTAAACCAGGTGTGTTCTGAGTCTTTCTATGTCTGGAAACTCTTGAGTCTTCAGGTGAGATGCTCGCAGTATCTCTCTTCTATTTTTATAGGCAAAACCAGTAATTTCTTAACACATTCCTATTTTTGTCAGTGTACATACTTCTAACTGGCTTAGTATGAACATTACGGATTGTCCTTCATTTCATCAAGTTTTGATATAAACTGTTCCCTGTACATATTGAAATACAGATAATCTGCCTTTAAAAGAATATTGGCATTTTAAGTGTTTTGTAAGGTTTAATTGCTAAAAGGCTTTTTGTAATGTATAATAATGTTTTTATAAAACCTGTAAGATTTTTGGAATCACTTGAATCTTGTCTTCTGTTTTCAATGCTTCCTGAAAGCTGTATGTGACTGCCTGCACCAGTGAGTGCACAGGCTGGGTCCAGAGTATCACGTCGTACTGATGCTGGTTTACTTCTGGGATTTTGGTAGTTCCAGCATAATGGTTGGGCTGGGATAGACTTAATTTTCTTCCTAGTAGCTGGTACAGTGCTGTGTTTGGGATTTAATAAGAGAGTGATGCTGATAACACCCTGATGTTTCAGTTGTTGCTGAGTGGTGTTTATCCTCATGAAGGACTTTTCAGTCTCTCATGCTCTTCCTAAGGAGCCAAGAGGGAGCACAGCTGACCCCAGCTACCCAAAGGGATATTCCATATCATAGAACATCATCTTGGTAGCGGGGGGTTGACTGGAAGGCACTGAGAGCCCCGGGAAGTGGTGAATGCCCCATCCCTGGCAGTGTTCAAGGCCAGGTTGGACACAGGGGCTTGGAGCAAGCTGCTCCAGTGGAAGGGGTCCCTGCCCGTGGCAGGGGTTGGAACTGGGTGAGCTTTGAGGTCCCGTCCAACACAAACCAGTCTGGGATTCTATGAAATGGGAACTCTAGTTGGATCTCCAGGCCAGTATCAGTACTAAAGGCTTTTTTCCCCTATCATGATATCCATAAACAAACATAAACCTTTCTTTTCCATGGCAATCTCTTCAGATCCTGACCCTCTGTGTGCATTAATCCTACTGGAATATTTATTTAGCAAGAAGCGGTTGTCCAGATACACCCTTGGGAGTGGTTTTGTGTTTGTTTAAAAGCTTTTCTCACCCTGGTGGAAGCTCCAGTGTTTTGGCATAGGCAGAGCCTTTGACTCTGAGGGCTTAAGAGCCTTGGTACATGTGAGATGCGTATTGCACCGAGACCTTGGAACTGAGTAGTGGCGGCTGCAGGCTGTCGAGCCCATCCATCCACCTTCTGCCTGTCTAAGTCATGCTGAGTTCAAAAGAATTAAGAAGAGGCTTCAAAATCACAGGAACTGGTGACTTAAAATCTCTCTCCCTGGTGGTACAAAAGTGACCCCTAAATGAAAAAGAAGACTGAACTATTTGCTGTAGTTGGAAGATGGGGATGTGCTCTAAAAGATGCTTGATCCTCCTGTGAATAGGAAGGACTGTGTGGTAAGTGGTGGGGGTAAGTGATGGGTATTTTCCACCTTTTCACCCTTACTTCTCTTAACAGCATTGTTTCATAATACTGTCCACTTTGATTCCAGAGCGCTTCCCTGACAATGAGCTGTTCTAAACTGACCCAGCAAAACGTTTCAACACTTGCTGGTTTTTAGGTGTTTGCTTTCATTCCTAAAGGGAAGCCTTTGATCCTGATGCTCACTGAGAACAGGAGGGAAGAAATTCTCTTGTCTCAGTGTAAATAAAACAAAGCCAGCTGTCCCCATGATGTGATTTGGTGACAGCCAGTTTTGAAGCAGCCTTCCCTATATGAAAGGGGACCACGGATGTTGCTGCGGAGCTTCTGCCTTTGCTGTTGGAGCCTTGAGTTTTGGTGAAAACCTTCACACCTGCACTTAGTGTCTCAGCAGGAGAGTGCACTCTGTGGGGATGCCCATCGTGTGCAGGAACCCTGGGGAGAGGTTTACTGGGCTAAGGCAGATCATCATAGAATCACAGAGGGGTTTGGGGATGGAAGGGACCTTAAAGCTCATCCAGTTCCAATCCCCTGACAGGGAAGAGCTTCTGCCTAAGAGCTCACCTCAGTCTCCCCTCGGGCAGGTTAAAGCCATTCCCCTTGGCCTGTCCCTACATCCCTTGTCCCAAGCCCCTCTCCAGGTTTCCTGCAGCCCCTTCAGGCACTGGAGCTGCTCTCAGGTCTCCCCTTCAGGAGCCTTCTCTTCTCCAGGCTGCCCCAGCCCAGCTCTCTCAGCCTGGCTCCAGAGCAGAGCTGCTCCAGCCCTGGCAGCATCTCCGTGGTCTCCTCTGGCCTCACTAAGTGAAAGAGTTGCCTGTTCTCTGGATCCTGGTTGCACTCACAGGTAGGTAACACACCGAGCTGCTCAAGCGTGTCAAAATACAGCAGCTCTGGGTGGATAACAGAGGTAAGCAGATACTGGCTCAGAGCCGGGGTGGTGCAGCCGGGTATCTTGGTATTGGCCACTTGCTACTATTCCCACCCATTTTCTTCTGAAGCCTCTTCCTTCCCCCAGTCTGCTCAATTGCACGGTCAAGTTCAAAGTGACATGACCTTCAAGGCAAGGAGCGCTGTTTCCCAGGCTACCTCCGTGCTGGTAAGGCTTCTTCTGCTCTTGTGTCCATCAAATGCAGCTATCAGTACTGCTTAGATACCTCCATCCGTTTTTAGAGCCGGGAGATTTTAGGACAACTGGTGCTTTGTGCTCTCGTGTGGTGATTCTGCACTGTATGGTGTGTTCTTGTGTTCTGCACTGTGTGGTAATCAGTGCTGGGGTGAGTTAGCAGTGCTGTCGTATTTATTTGAACCATGATTATTGGGCACATACAAAGCATTCAAGTACTTGACCAAATCATGCCGAACCACGTTTTCCACAGCTCTTACATAAACCATGGTCAGGTTTCCTCAAAGATACACTTGGAGCACTTAACAAGGAGCTCTTGGCTGGAGACCTGCATAAGGAAGAGAGGCGTCAAGCTGAAGTGAATGAGTAAGTAACAGAAAAAGCTGTCAGCTTCCAAGCTGCTTTGCCTGTCTCTGTAAATAACATGCGTTGGGAACCTCACTTCTTCCTGACCCTGTCGCTCCCAATGCGTCTGCTCTTCAATCCGGTGCTGCTCAGACAAGATTAAACACCGCCTCATGGGAAGGAATTGCCCAATGTTGCATTCAGTTTCTCACCTCCCTTCACTTTGGCTGGAGGAGCCTGATGTTTAACAAGGGGGTAAACTCCGAGTGCCATAAGCTGTACCTGTGGCATGGGGTACTTACAGCTCCCTGCTCTGCAGCAGTCTGGGTGGAGGGGGAGAGAAAAGACTTTGATTGCTCGGTGGAATAGGTTTTGTGTTGGGAATGAAGATTAGGTTTTAATAGATGAAACTGGCTGTTTGTTACTGAGCAGTGACCATGGGTGTGGAGGGGAGCTTGTTGCCTGTTTCCCCCAGGTTTTGCCTCAATGATAAATGAGGCAATATCTGCCTTTTTCATCTCATTACTCTTGTGCTTTCTCTTTGAGCAGTATCTCAAGCCCAGACCTTGAGATCTGGCCTAGAATACTGTCTGAACCCAGGTTTTTATAGTCCCTGTAGTTCCATGCAGTGGACAGCCTTGTATTCGTAAGCACAGGTTTTCCCTGCTCCTCATAGTGCCGGTTCCACAGATGTAGAAGTGTTGCACCCTGGCTTAAAACCAAAAGATTGCATTGTGTGTTTAATGATTTTTGATGCTTTCTGCCTTTATTTCCTGAGTTGTTTCGAGTGTCTTCAGCAAAACCTGATTTTCCTCCCAAGCCAGGAGTGCTTGACTTACAAAGAGACAGCAAATCTCAGGAGAGCACTTCTTTCTAGGAGCCAGGTATGAAAGGGAAATACCAATGGGTCACGAGACTTGGGATTAAACCTCAAAACTGGGGAGTATGGCTGAGTTGGACTGCTTGTGACAGGGGAAAGAGAATCAGCCTTTAGTGTCGGGTATCCCCTGTTCCATTCCATCGCCAGGAGTCGGGGTGGCGGGGATCAGCAGTGAGCATCATGTGGATTTGGGGGCAGTGCCTAATGAAGAGCGCTGGAGAAGCCTCTTCTTACCCAGGGTGCTAGTGAAGAGGAGATGTCATAGCTCAGCATGAAGCACTTGGGCAGTGGGTGTGTGTGGAGGAGAGAGTGGGATTGCGCTGTAAAAAGTGCTCACATTTTTAGCCAGACAGCACTTGTGCAGCAAATAAAATCCCTCCCTCCGACAGATGGAGGAGAGGGGAGTGGGAGGGAGCTTTGGAAGCGCACGTTGTCATTTCTGCCTCGGCTGCAAGGGAGGGAGCACCAAATACCAGCCGACAACAGAGGGTGGATTAAAAAGTGCATCGAGGAGGGAGAGGCGACTCCCCGTGGAGCAGCTTCCATCTGGGCCTGTCAGAATGCTGTGCAAACATTAGGCAGCCAAGCTTTGCGGTCGCCCAGTGGACGTGTATTGATCATTCCTGTTTAGAGATGGGGAAATTCAGGAAGAGAGAGTGCAGGATGAAGGATATTGCTTGTAGGGCTGGAACTAATGCTGCCAGCATCTTCTGCTCCCAGTCCCTATATGTTGTTCAGGCTTGGACCAGCTCCCTGGCGTTGACATGGATAATCCCGTACATGTCTGACCCAGCCTTCCCCTGGAATACACTCTCATTTACTTTCCTTGATCAGGATTAATTTACCTGTCGCTTCCATTAGATCTGATGAAATTGAAAGCTCACCTGGAAAAATTCCCATCTGAGAATGGCAGGGAAAGGATCACAAAGTGAGAGTATCTGCTTCCACCTGCAAAACCTTACTGATTACCTCAATACTTGCTTTTAAATGAGAAAAGAAGCATCTCCGATGGTTTCTTGCAATATAAATAAATGAGCTTCCCACATCTCCTCAGGAAAGGGCTGCTGGTTTAAAGCCACACTTCCATGAGGTACTTGGGTGAGGCGTTTAAACCTGAGCTCACAGAGATCTGTAAGCTCTGCTGTCCATGCCCTGCAAGTGAGGCTGTGAGTGTATCTGCACCCAGCACAACTGCCTCAAAACACCTTTTGATCTTTACCCATGTGGGAAAGGGAAATAAATCTGGTAAAAATCAGATTCATTTCATCAGTATAAAAGGAAACCAAGCAAAAGCAGAGTCAGATCCTTCAGTTCTTACTGCAGGGCAGGCAGGTCTCGGTGTACAAGCTAAGTTCAAGTGGACCTCCTGAACTCCTCTGACTTGTTCACCCAGTAGGAAATCAAAGAAAGGCTGTTCTTTGGGCAGTTCAAGTGGATGTTGGTAGCACTGACCTGCTGATGAAGGCTACAGGGCACTGAACCTCTTGCTTTCCCTCTTGGGCTCTAGACAGTGTTTGTTTCTGTGGCTGGGAGGACTGCTGGAGCCAAGGTTCTGGAATGCTGGGCTCCTTGGCTGCTCTTTGGGAGGTGTTCTGGGTGCCTGATCAGGGATCCAAGCCATGGGTTCATCTCCTGGGTTTGTGCTTTTGAACGGTGGTGTCTCAGACCAACCAGTCCTGTTTGTCCCTGCTGTGCTAAACCAGGCAGCAAAACGCATTCTGTAAGGAGCTGGTGTTCATCATTCAGCTATTTTTATAATTGCAGTTTATTTGTGCCTTCAGTGCTGACTCATAAAGCAAGGTATTGCACTGGAGCCGGGAGGGAAATGACCCTGCCTCTTCTACTGCTGCTTTGGAATCTGACTTCTTTGTCCCTCTTTGGGGATCTCTGTCCTACTTGCTGTCACACATCGGCTGGTTGACAGGAAGGCATCAAGAGCCTTGGGCAAAACCAGCTTTATAAGCAAAGCTGGAGAATCCTTCTGCTCCATTTAGAAGAAAAGTCTCTTAAGTAGAAT